GTTTAAAATAAATTAAGTGTAATTTCATTACACTGCACAGGGAGCTGTGTTAACCTGGCTTTTTTTTTCCCCTCTCGTGCGTTAGTCTTCAAGACAAATGAGTCGAGTTTAGCAAAAAATAAAAATAAATAAATAAATTCGGTCGAGTTTAGCAAAAAATTAAAAATTAAAATCAGTCGAGTTTAGCCGTTCAGCTGATTTCATTTGAGGAATTAGTATTGTCGGGAAGTGCATTACTGTAACACACGGAACCATTAAGGTTATTGTTTCCAGCTGGTCGGTCCTCTATTGTGGGTGGACCGCACGTCGCTGGTGTAACACGAGGTGCTGAGAAAAAATTGTAAAGAAATTCCAGCGAATGTGAATGGAAGATGAGGAATTCAGCAAATGGCTATTGATGGTGAGAATGGYGAAGTATTTTGCAGTCAGTGGTTGTAACAAAAAATTGTGTAATTATATATTAGGTTTGGAACAACGGGTGTTATGTCAGCGCGTTAAGAGCACACCTGACGGCCGCTAATCAGCTTTAAGAGAGAGGGGTCGCATACATGTCAACCCCTTCAGTGCGTCTACCTTTATAATGACCTTAAAAAGTATGAAATTTTAACCAAAAACCCGTAGTGCTGTCACGCACGGTGTGTGTGTGTGCGTGTGCGCGCGCGCGCGCAGCCGGTGTTTTTGCTGCAGAGCCAAAGCACAAAGTGAGAGGGGAACGGACAGTTTCTGTAGAAATCGTGCTCAGCACTTGTGGTGCTTTATCATTTTTATTTGAGTGCATGTAACTTATTATAAATCTAAACAAATCCATCCAGATATTCAAATAAACCAAGTACTGAGTTTAGAAATAAGAAAATCTTGATACAAAATATTAAAAGCTGTGTTAATGTTGTGAGCCATCAGAGTCATAAAAAATTGTGGCATTTTGTTGTCTTTTACAATGGTTGGTGATGCCAAACTGGTTGGCCTGACTTAAAGAATTCACATGAGGCAAACCCCGACCAATTAGCTTGTATCTGGTTATATTAAAGAGCTTTAATTTTCCCTGTAAAAGTGATGGACAATTAAATCCAATTGATTACAGTGAAATAGCTGTCTTGAACCGAAACCACTCAACCTCATCGACATCAATATTCTAAAAAACATGGTGGATTGAAATACGTAATGTGTCATTTATTGTGACATCAACTTTGCATAAGTCTTAACAGTCATGTATTTTGTTGCTGGTACCTCCTTAGTATGACTAAAGTTTGTACTTTCACCTGTTGTTCTATACTTTATGTTCGAGGCGCCAAGTCATGTTATCCTGAAACTTTTTTTTATTTGTTTTTCAGAAAAAAATGGAAGSCCCAAAAGTGAAAGTTCTTGCTACAATATTCCTTGATGGGAAGGATGTCTGCAAGAAAGTCGTGAAAATCCAAAATGCTACAGAATTAGTAGATGCAAGCCGATCACAAGTACCTCCTGAAGCAGAGGTGAGTCGAGTTTTGCACTACAATACAGAGTTCAATGATTTTATTGACTTTGAAATGGACACAAACATCAAAGATTTAGACAAATTCCAAATACTCTTCAAGTTGGGTTGTCAGCAAGCCGGCGCACAAGCTGAAAGCACATGTTTGGTAAAACAGTGGAATAAGTGTCTCTTAACTTTTTTTAATCCATGACTTATTTAATTCCAAAAAACATCTAAAAGTTAACCTTACAATGTAAACAAGTTTTATTTTAATCAGTCTCTGATTAAGTTATAAGTATTAGATAAAGATAATTTTGTATTTAATTTCTGAATTGTCTTGTGTACATTTTTTTAAAATATAGGTTTATCTTAAAATATTGTATACAAATGACAGCAGGCTTAAATAAGAAAAGTCAGTAGGTATTACATAATGTCATCACAGGTGAAGTCAGTGTAGACTTTTATATTAATATTTTTGATATAGAAAAATTATAAATTGAAAGCTCACACGTTCTTGGATTTGTTTATGCATTCTGCAGCCTGCTGCCTTGCCAGACCCTGGGCTGTGCCTGTCCAGTTCTCTACAAGACATTTCAGACGACAGGCTTACGGAGAGTGGAGTAACGGCACTAGAGGACCTCATTCAAAAAAAGGCTCCAGCCATTCTTTCAGAATACAACAAATCTGGCTCTATATCCTCAAAAAACAGAATGCTTCTTGCTAGAGTGGCGGTCACCGACCTTGTGGAGAGTCGAGGATTGTAAGTTATATCAAGTTAAACTAATAATTCTATCTAATTGACTCTGTTCCAAATGTCCCCTGTTTTTGGTCAGATGTTTAAGCTGGTATAAAGGACTAATGTTTGTGTAACTATTTCACAAGTCAGAAAAAAAATGTTTTTATTTGCAGTTACCCATCTACTGATGACAAGTTGTGTCTTGCCA